CCGCTGAGATCCAGGCAGGGCAAGACCCTTGAGATCCAGTAGGGACAGGGCCTCTGAGATCCAGGCAGGGAAGGGCCACGGAGACCCAGGGGGCACAGGACCCCTGAGATCCAGGCAGGGAAGGGCCACTGAGATCCAGGAGGGGCAGGACCCCTGAGATCAAGGAAGGGCAGGACACCTGAGATCCAGGCAGGGCAAGACCCTTGAGATCCAGGAGGGGCAGGGCCGCTGAGATCCAGGCAGGACAGGGCTGCTGAGATCCAGGAGGGGGAGGACCACTGAGATCCAGGAGGGACAGGACCACTGAGACCTAGGAGGGGCAGGACCCCTGAGGTCCAGTCAGGGCTGTGCTCCCTGCTGAGGCTCCAGAGGAGGGTCCTTCCTGCCTCTCCCTCTTCTGGGGCTCCAGGCGTTCCTGGGCTTGTGGCCGCCTCCCTCCCGTCTCTGCCTCCCTCTTCACGTGGCTTCTTTGTCTCTGTCTCTCCCCTTCTGTCTCTTAAGGCACCTGCTATTGAATTTAGGTCCCCCGTGATCCAGGATGGGCTCATCCCAGATCCTTCACTTACTCCCATCTGCAAAGATCCTGTTTCCAAATAAGGTTCCGTTCTCAGGTTCCGGGTGGACATACATTTGGGGGGTCACGCATTCAACCCTCCACATGGGGCCCTCTAACGGTTCCACTGGCCGCACCCTCTGCCTTCGGTGTGGCTGCTAACAAGGAAGCAGAGACGTGTTTCTGCAGCGTGCATTTCCACTAACGCCTAAAATACACAGATGCTTTCTTCAAACAGACTCAGAGCCCAGCCTCCTGCTTGACTCTCTGCGACCACCCAAACACTCGAAACGCTCACACAGAGCTCTGCCGTCCGCCAATTTTTTTTTTCTTCCTGCTTCATGTTTTACTGGGAAAGGCTCCTCTGGGCACCGTGCCACTGCTGAGACCCCTCCTCTGTTGTCGAAAGGATCGTGTCAGGGACGGGCGTCCTGGAGGGTGGGGGAGGGTTTCCTTCAGTATCTACGTTTTCCAGGCAATCGGCTGTGGTTCCGCGTGGCCCTTCCCAAGCAATTACATGGTTTTAATACAGATTTCAACGGTTGCTATAATTACGCGAACCATCTAATCTAGCGCATAATGCAAGTGCCATTACGAATCTAATGAGTATATAATCAGAAGTTTTCCAGATAAAGGGAGCACGTTCTCTGCGAGGAAAGGAAGTCGAGCTGTGTCCCCGGCATTCACAAAGCAATCACAGTGTTGTGAGAATGGTTTCTGGGGTGGGGGAAGAGAGGGGTTTGTTTTTGTTTTTTTGTTTTTCTTTGCCTGTTTGGTTTTGGATTTATTGGTTGGTTTCGGTGTCCTTTATTCCGCTGTTTGGACCGCGTGCCGAGTGTCGTCACAAAGCTGGGCTCAAGGGGCATGACCATCGCGGGCGCGATGTCTTTCCCCACCGAAGGTGCACCTGCCCGTCCCCCCAGGATTTGCGCCCCCCTGCAGGTTGTATTTAGTGCAATGTTTTTTTACAAAGAATCAGAATGGATGCCAGCAAGGCAATGAGTCCATGCCAAAGGAGCCCCCAGCCAGCGTGGGGATCCAAAGTCAGGATCGGTACCCACACGGGATGCTGAGCCAGGCTGGTTCCTTCTGTGCCTTCGTGCTGCTGGGGAAGCACAGGTGGGGGGGTGCTGCAGCAGTCCGAAGATGGACAGGACCTTCCCGGGGACACTGAGCCCAGCTTCCCTGCAGTGGTCTGTGCCCAGGCCCCTTCCTGCAGCACTCTGCCCCCACGGTGCCCCTTGGAAGCCAGCAGGGACCCCTGCCCTCCACCCGGAGGAAGCTGGGGGCACGGAGCATCTCCCCCGAGCGCTGGAACCCACAGGAAGGGAGGCTAATTCTCTTCTGGACCGTTCTCCCACTTGGGTCTTGCTGGTGCTATTTTGGGTCCCTCAGCCACACGGTGACAGATACTTTTAGCACAAAGCCAAAGGCGCCGAGATCCATCTGTCTGCTGGTTTCTCGCTGAGTGACAGGAGTGCCCGTGAGTTAAGGGTCTCAGGGCATCCTGTCCCTGCCTCCAGCCGCCGTGCCTGCATGTTTTCCTGAAAGCCTGAGAAAGCGTCCCTTCTTTCCAAAGGCACCTCAGAGAAGGTAGAACGGAGTGGCCATGGCACCCGGCGAATGTTTATCATTTAGACCCCATGTGCCCCGTATTTACGCACACAAGCTTGGTTTCCCAAGAAGATACTTAAAATAATTAAACAAAATTTTAATAACATGGGGGCGCCTGGGGGGCTCAGTCGGTGAAGCATCTGACTTCGGGTCAGGTCAGGATCTCGTGGGTTCGAGCCCCGCATGGGGCTCTGTGCTGACAGCTCAGAGGCTGGAGCCTGTTTCGGATTCTGTGTCTCCCTCTCTCTCTGCCCCTCCCCCGTTCATGCTCTGTCTCTCTCTGTCTCAAAAATAAATAAACGTTAAAAAAAATTAAAAAGGGGCGCCTGGGTGGCGCAGTCGGTTAAGCGTCCGACTTCAGCCAGGTCACGATCTCGCGGTCCGTGAGTTCGAGCCCCGCGTCGGGCTCTGGGCTGACAGCTCAGAGCCTAGAGCCTGCTTCGGATTCTGTGTCTCCCTCTTTCTCTGCCCCTCCCCCGCTCATGCTCTCTCCCTCTCTCTCTCTCTCAAACATAAATAATAAAAACATTTTTAAAAGTTTTTTTAAATTTCTTTTTTTTTTTACATTTTACTTTTAACAGATTGGTTTTATTTTCACATGAAATTTTAATTTGTCATAAAAATTAAAATATAGTAAATAAGTTAGAAATAGTGGAAGGAACAACATTCTGGCAATATTGAAAATAAAAAGAAAACGGAATGTGCCGATGAATAATACCTGGAATAAAAAGGAGACATAACTTGAGAGGCAGCCGTGTTTACAAGGAAAATGAGATAATGTTACGGGTAAGTGTCCTGGTACGTTTAAAAACTTGACCCAACCAAAACTGACTCAAGGAGATATATAAGACCAGAATAGTATCATGGCATTTTCATAAATTGAATCAGTGGGTAAAAGGCTGCCCATCAAGAAAATGCTAGCCCTGGGTGATTTCATCAGGTTGCTGCAAATTCCAGTATTATCGGAACCCCTCCAGGCAAGAGAAAAAGAAATAACATCTCCACAGTATTTTATGAGGCTGGAAATACTTTTACACCAAAGCCCAGTAAACACACACACACACACAGACACACACACGCATGCACAAACACCCAAAAAACTTGGGGAAACGCTTTCTACCAGTGAACTTATTGTGCAACATATACTAAATAGTGAAATTTTGGAAGTGATCTCCTTAAAAGAAAAGAACAGTTCAAGGATAGCTCTTATCATCATATCAACCTGATGCTGTCCTGGGGGCTGTAGACGGTACAGTCAGACCGAACAAGAAACAATAAATACACGCGTTGGAAAGAAGGGTGACACTGTTTACACAAGGTATTTTCTATATGTGTATAAACCATTACCCCCCTAAATCAACTTCTAGATAAAACATAGAATTAATCAGAGTTTAGCAAACTGTCATTTATAAAATCATTAAATAAAGTGAATTTCCATTTAATATAGCCACACAAGAATACTTAGTATAATATAATATTAGATTATATATAATTATACTATAATATATAATATATTATACAATATAATTAAAATACATCATATACTATACTACATATAATATATTATATAATATATAATCGTATACTGCAATACGTAGTGTAATAATATTATATAATACATGCTATATTATATTATATATTGCAATATATAATATACAATAATATATAACAATTAGAATTATATACAATATATGATATATACTATACATAATTATAACATAATATATAACATATAACATAATATGACATATTATGACATATAACATAATATATAACATATAACATAATTATGTTACTATATAATACATATAATTATATGTTATTTTATATATGATATATTATAGTACATAACATAAATGATAATAATTATTCTATTTTATAATAGAAAATAAGCAATGTATAATAACTATAATGGGATTATTCTTTTTTTTTTTCAACATTTATTTATTTTTGGGACAGAGAGAGACAGAGCATGAACAGGGGAGGGGCAGAGAGAGAGGGAGACACAGAATCGGAAACAGGCTCCAGGCTCTGAGCCGTCAGCCCAGAGCCTGACGCGGGGCTCGAACTCACGGACCGCGAGATCGTGACCTGGCTGAAGTCGGACGCTTAACCGACTGCGCCACCCAGGCGCCCCAATAATGGGATTATTCTACCTAAAGAAATGTAAGAACAAATGAAGAAAACTACAAACCTCTTTACTTAATGTGCTGAAACATATCATATTCAAAGTTTGACAAATTGAGTAGCATGAAGACACATAAAGATGGGGACACCCTCTCTCTGTCTCTTTCTGTCATTTTAATCCTAGTTACATCAGTATTGTTTTGCAAAGCTTGAGAATCTGACCTTGAAATTTATATGCAGGGGAGTCTGGCTGGCTCCGTGGGTGGAGGGTGTGACTGTTGGTCTCTGGGTAGTGAGTACGAGCCCTATGTTGAGTGTAGAGAGTATTTAAAGTTCTTAAAAAATAAAATAAAATAAATAAAATAAAATAAAATAAAATAATAAAATAAAATAGCCAACACTGCTAAAATATATAAAAAATCAGGTGGAGACTATCACTGCCGGTATGGTTTCCATTCAAGAAGCCATCGTTTGACTGCGAAGCAGCATGGGTGGCTGGGATTAAAGACCATTATACTGGAAGGCATTTTGGTGTTTTGGTGGGAAGACAATGGGCTGTTCAGCATGGTGTTTGGACAATGGGTTATCCAGAGGGACCAGGACCAAGCTTTAAAGTTCTCAGCTATCCAGGTTGAGCAGTTAAGTATGAGAGGCTAAAGTCAAACCCTTGTAGAGGAGAAGCAGGCAAATACATTTCTGACCTTGCGTTAAGGCAGGCTTTCTTCAACCAAGGGCCAACAAGGAGAAGGCACTGGAAAGAGTGATATGGTTGACCACGTGACAGTTAAGAATTTGTTGGTCTCAAGACTCCAGTAAAAGAGTGAAACCACGGCATGGACTGCGAGCACATATTTGCTGTAAAGAATTAGTAGAAGGCTAGTATTCCTCGTACATAAAGAACTCCTCCAGGTCGATGTGAAAAGACTGCCCAGTTGCAGAAAGATGAGAGCCTCCAATTGGCATTTCAAAGAAGAGGAAGTGGAAATCACCAGTAGATGGACGTGCCTCACTGAGTGGTGGTAGTCAGGGGATACAAAAGTGAAACCCCAAGTGCCAATTTGGAAAGGAGCAAAGCAGGACACACACGTGGAGGCAGGGAACTCACAGAATCTGCCTATAGATGGGCCCGTTGGTACGGCGCTTTGGGGAAACCATGTGGCATTCGTTAGTGAGGACGAGCCATTCTGCTGATGACTTATCCCTAACAACTCTTAAAAGGTGTGCCAAGAAGCATATAGGAATACGCTCATGGCCTCGACGTTCATAGTAGCAAAAGATCAAAGACCATCGAAATGGTCATTGAGTAATACCCACACAACGGAGTAGTAGATAGTAAAGACAATTCGTGAAATTAAGAACAAATTAAGAGGCGCCTGGCTGGCAAAGTCGGTTAAGGGTCTGATTTAGGCTCAGGTTATGATCTCATGGTTCATGAGATCAAGTCCCACATTGGGTTCTATGCTGAGAACGTGGAGCCTGCTTGGGATTATCTCTTTTTGTCTCTCTCTCTGCCCCTGGCACTCTCTCTCTCTCTCTTTCTCTCTCAAAAAAAAAAAAAAAAAAAAAAAAAAGAGAGAGAGAGAGAGAGAGAGAAAGAAACTTAAAGAACAAATTAAAAAAATGAAATTAATGGAATCTGACTAAATCTTTCAACATATCCCACATGCGACTGGACATCTGTCAAGTGTGTTGACTTTGATCTTTCTCTAGGCAAGAAGTCAAGCCGACCTCATGTCATGAGCTCTTCTAGAAGTATTTTGGCTTTGTCAAAGTGAAAACAATTCACTGTTCATTTGGTAAGTGCACGTTTGCATTAATTCCACCTGTTAATAAGATAACCTAAAATTCAGCGAATACCCAAAATGGAGCGTATTATGTGGTCGTGGTGGAACCTGACTGTTGAACATTACAGCAACAAGAATGTGCTTCCAAGATTTTCTTTCTTCTTATTATTTCTTTCCACATGCTCAGGGTCTAAAATTGATTTTATAGAGTAAGAAAATAATAAAAAGTGAATTCATTTCTTTCCATCTTCCCCTGACCAATCTGGTTCCCTTTCTCAGTTGCTAAAAAGCAGAACAACAAATAAAAAACACACATTTCTGTTTAAACCTCTCGGGTCCTAACTCAGAAGTGATCTCTGTCTTCTAGTTTTCAGAACACAGTTACTACCACATCCTGTTGACTTTGTGTTTATCAGATCTTTCAAATTTGAACCTTTCTTTCCTTATCTCTGCCCTCAATCTTCCGGGCAGGACGACATTGGGCTTATGCCCCTGTGCTCACCACAATCCCCTGGTGTTTTCCTTGGGCTGGAACACGCCCCGACCATAGCTCACACCATTATTGTTCTTAGATCTTGGGGATATGGTCATGTGACAACCCACAAAAGCATCTGGTTCCGTGAGGACAGGCAGGACCTGGTCACAGGCTCTGTCCTCAGCCGGAGACACGTCTGCATTTCAATCAGACTTGTGAGTCACACGCTGGAAAACGACATGGCGGTCGTTACAGACTTGGTCTGTTGGTTGGTTGGCTGGTTGGCACTTTTCCAAAGACCCAAACGCTGCTGGGTCACACTGGGTGGGTGGTGCTGAGTCACCCGTGGCAGATTGGGAACCCCATGGAGTCTTTGGGTCTGAAACCCATGCAGACCTTGACGTGTGGGCAGGGACTTGTATTTGGAGGGTTGCATCCGTGTTGGGATCCACGTTCTGTAGAGCAGCTGTCGCCTCATTTCATGTACAAAGGCTGCTACCCGTGCAATGGCTGGATGATAACACAATTATTATTATTGATGAAATAACACAAACACCTTACTGACGAACTAGAGACACCAAAGCAACTTTCAGCAGAGACTTTTTTCCAAGGGATTCTGTGACATTTCTGAGAACGATGACAGACACGTTGGTGCCTCCATGTTGTTGGGAACGGAGGCTTGTATGTAAGCAACCTTCTTCACACGCTGCACGGATAGACTCTATTCGCATTAATCTTTGAAAATATGGAGACGCCTATGCAACCAAGTAACTCATCTTTTTTTTTTTTTTTTTGGTTGTTTTTATTTGAAATATCTTGAATTGGGTAAAACAAAGATCTCACCAAAGGGGATGTATTCACGGTCTGTCTTCCACCTTGAATTGCCTTCGTTTGAAGCAGAAAAAAGTGAACGCTGTTTCTGCACCAAATTTCTAAGCATTTGAATGGGATTGTGTCCCAGTGGAGCAGGTGATGCGGGCTCTCTGGCTTGGGTGGGGGCCGCCTGGACCTCTCTTTACCACCTGCTCCGGGTCGCGCCTAACTTCCTCTCTGTCACGGTGGGCCCCTTGAGTCCACACTCAAATCCTTCCATTCTGGAATATTTTATTGGACTGTCGAATGCATCATTCCAATCCTCTGTTGCTCTTTCTTTTTCTTTTTTTTCCCTGAAACTCCTGTTTTTCAGATGTGAGGCCAACTCGATTTCTCTTCTTTCCGACTTTCTGTGTCTCTGTGTGTTATTTCTTTCCTTTTATTCTAGACGATTCGCTTATTTGTTACCATGCAGACATGTTATGAATACTTGTTTTTGCCATGCGTTATAAATTCCAAGAGCTCTTTCTTATACGCCATTCTTTTTCTTTTACTGCTGTCCAATTCGTAGTGAACACTACGGGTCAGTCACTTCCTCGAGCAGGAACTCATAGCAGAAATGCTTTCTGAATGCCCAGGAGGACGAGGAGACAGGGTATTCCAACGCGCAATCTGCAGCCTTTCTTTCTGTCTTCCTTTCATTCGGTGAAATTCATGACGTACAAGGAAGCATTACAAAGTGAGCAATTGTGTGGAATTTGGTACAATCACAGTGTTGGGCACCTACCATCGTGATCTAGTTCCAGAAAATGCGTATCGCTACCCCAAACCAGGAATCTGTTAGGTAATTGTGCCCTGTTTCCCAGACACTGCCCACCCATTAATCTTTCTCACTGTATGAATTTTCTGGATGTTTCATATAAATGGAGTCATGCACTGTGCTGTCTTGTGTGTCCTGTGTCTCTCACGGAGCACCATGTCCACAAGGTCCGTCTGTGTGTGTGGTAGCAGGTGTGAGAGGGCTTTTCTCCTTTTCTCATGGCTGAGTCACATTCCACAGCTCGGATGGACCACACTGAGTTTTTCCATTCATCCATGGGTGGGCATTTGCCTTGGTTCAACCTTGTGTGTCTCACAAGTACCACTGCTCCGAATATGCGTGTATGTGCGTGCTTGCTAGAGACCCTGTTTTCAGGGCTGTGGATGCATCTACCTAGGAGGGGCGGGCTTTCTTTCCTTGTCCATATCCTTGCCTATTTGTCCTCGATTCCAAAGAACACGTTGTATGTAGTTTGCCAAAGTTGGAAAGACGTGTTCGCCTGGCTGCAAGGAGCGTGGGGGGGGGGGGGTTCAAGCAAGTTCCCTTGTTCTCAGCCCAGCCTCGGTCGGCACCTTGACAACCGCCCTGGGTCCAATTCGTGCCATAGCTTTCCCGGGACCATCTATTATCTGCTACCTCCTCACACATTCTTTCCGTCTGTCCTCAGTTTCCTCTTTAATGCCAACGTATGTACGTTTTGCAAGACGGAGAGAGAGGGAATAAATATTAAGCAGCCGCATTTAATACAGCAGCTCCCCATTTTTCTGGTTATAAACCTGCGTTTCCCATAATTTCTCACAGACGAAGAGGGGGACAAGGGCACCTGCAAGGTTCCACGCGCCCTGTGCCCCCGGAGCCTCACAACCTCCGCCATCAGAACTCGTTCCCTAGATGGATGGGCGCCATCTGTCAACGTCAGACCTAATTAGCATGCAGAGGTCCAACTGTGGCTCCTACCCCTTGACCCTGCTGCCCAGAAGATTAGACCAAGTACAACGAGGTTGCCTGTACCTGTGATGGAAGTGGAAGCAGATGATTCCCAGGAGAATGTCTGGAAAGTATTGCAATGGAGGAGAACGCCCGGAGGTCTGCATCGCCAGGAGGCGCGAAGGGCATTTCAGGGCCCCAAGGAAACCTGGAATGATAGGCAGTGAGAGACAAAGACTCGTGCAAAGAGTCCAGAAAGAAACAGGGGATTGCACTGTGGGACAGAGGCGCTGGAAAGCCAAAGTCCACAGTCAGTGCTGTCATCGTTTTGCAGGGCAAACACCGGGACGGCACACTCAGCCCAGTGATGCCACGGGAGGCGCTCCCCAGGAGACAGAGGCGGCTGGTGTCTCGGGTGCAGGATGCCTGCCTCAGGGTGGAACCTCCCCTGCACCTGCGCCATTGCTTGGAATATACTGGAAGATGCAGTCTGAGAAGACAGAGAGAGGGAGCATGATGGAGACAAGGGATGCAGGGAGCAGGATGGCCGCCCGGCGAGAGCGGTGCGCCGCCCCTGGGCGCCCCCCCCCCCCCCCGGTTCTCGGGACGGCAAAACTGAGTCCCGGTGCTCGGAAAGTAGGGATCACGTGCAAGGCACGGACCCGTGGAATATAATAGATCACACAACACAATGCCAAATAATGTCGTATTAGTAGATGCCCATTTTCCAGCCAGAGGAAACGAGTCACGGAGAGACTGTCGTGTGTTCAAGGTCTTCCAAGGGGCGTCCGGGACCCAGACCCAGGCACTTAGAAGTTGCAAGTTCCAAGAAGACAGCTGTGGGGCATCTTAAAAAGCACAAAGCCAGGGGCGCCGGGGTGGCTCGGTCGGTTGAGCGTCCGACTT